TAAAATTTTTCTGTAGATTCTTTTGGATTTTTCTCAAACACAGTCGTGTCTTTGTAAGTAATATTTTTCTCCTTCCCCATTGTCATAGTTTTTTTTCCTGTTAGTTTTCTCAGTCTTAATTCATATTTTCCATGAAAATATTGGAACATATAAATAGTTTCCTTGGTCTCAGAGTTTCCAAGTTCTGTTTATTTATATACTTTATTCCTTTTTGAGAGGGTTCAGACTATATCTGTTGCTGGACCTATATTTTTAAGTAAGATGCATACCTATGATAACTTGCATGGGGAATTTACAACTACCATACAGAAGATAAACTGAAAGCTGTGCTTATTGAACAGATTTTGAGAATTCTCAGTTTCCTAATTTGTTGTATCTTTTCTGAAACCTGAAAGTTCAATGAATTTAGCTTCTAAGCGTAGTTCCAGGACTGAGTTTATAATAAATGTTGTTTAATTGTGGTTTGTCTTGATGATTTTTAAAAATTCAGTTATAGTACATCAAAGAGAATAGTATTTGCAGTTAGAATTCAGATGTGTAAGTAGAACCTGAAATATGTAACCTCAAAGTTTTTCTCAGGTAAATACAAATCCTTTAAAGATACTGGAATAAAATAAAAACCTGAAATATGATGTTGAAAGTATTTGGTGCATTGATAAAGTTCCCTGGGGCCTCTGGATGTTTAAAGCAACAGTTTGATTGAATAGAACAATAAATGCAGGGCTGGGTGTATTTTTTTCCTCTTTCTTTCTCATCTACTAGAAAAATATAGATAATAGACCACATTTATTTCCTTAACATTTCAGAGCTCCACAGATGGGAAAACACAGCCCAGTGGAAATGGTTTCTGGCAACCTTGAGAAGATTTGTTAGCATTTTGTGGCATTTCTCTCAGTGACATGTAAAGCATGGCTTTCCCTCATTGCAGTGTCACAGTGAAGTGTCACAATAAAGCCAAAATAGTGTGCCCTCAGGGAAAACTAGGAAAAGGGGCCATTTTCCATGCACACACAAAGGGTAATATTTATTATAAAGCCTTTCATTTTAGCTACAAATGCTGCCTGGGCTGTGGGTACTTTGCAATGGAAAAATGCACTGAATGTGAGATTGAAAGCAAGTGTTATGCATACATCCAATGCAATCTCTGTAAATATAAATAACATGTAAAGAAGTGGAATTCACCTGTGGACACACATGTGTGCATACCTTGTGTCGTGTGCTAGGCTGAGACTGGTGAGGCTACAATGTGACAGTGTTAGCCAGTGAAGGTGGAGTCCAAGGAGCACTAGGCTGGTACACAACTCTGTTGTGACCTATGTTTGTCCCCTCAAGCACAGACATTATCTCTGATAGTCTCAAAACATATGATATAAAAATTATCATCTCCATTGCTACAGGAGAAATATGATCAAAAGATCCAACCATGTGCTACGGATTGTGTACCTAGGATTACTGATACTATTTCATATAACCTTAATATCAAAAACAATGATTTATTTTAAGCCAAACTTGCACTCTTGGCAAAATCTCACCTATCTCTTTCAGCGGCGACTTGCATGGTTATTCTTTCCACTCAGATATTGAGCTTGATTTTTATTACCATTAAAAAATCACCTCATTCAATGGAGGAGCCAAAGTATGGACTGAGAGAGCCAAGAAAAACAGCATAAAAACAAAGATGAGACTGTGGGAAAATTTTTGTAAATGTGGATCATATTGAATCCTATAAATGTTTGATTAAATCTGCTTTTCCTTTTTTCCCAAAAAGAGATAAATCACCCCATAAAGGTCATTCTACTGCTCCAGTCTGTGACACTTAAGGGGTCCTAATTAGTTTTGCAGCATACTTTTCATTGCTCCAGTTCAGTACCACCTTCAGACTGAATAATTGTTCTGGACAGCAAGCCCAAATCATTGGGCGAGGTCCTATGGCTGACACTTTCCTCTAGACTACAGAGGTCATTCTTTTATTCAGCTTCTATCTCAACATCTTGTCAAGGGAATGCCGAATTTCCCTGAATCTCTTGTCCTAATATGATAATACGGAGGAGAGCATGTGAACTTTAGAGACGGATAGATTTGGTTTCAAATATAAGTTCTACCAATTACTGATTATTTGATTTCGAGAATGTTACTTATCTTTATAAGTAATCTTGGGTGATTACTAACAAGGTAAAGTTTGTGCGAATCAGCTAGTATGTGTTCCTGCCAATCACCAAAGAAAGAAACGACATTTTTCTGACTGGTCATTGTCAACCATCCTCACCCTGCTTGGTCTTACTGATGAATACTTCCTGGGGCCAGCAAAGCTACCCCTCCTCCTGCCCCTGCTCTTCCTTCTTCCTAAATTTTATTGCAGTAAGGATATTTAACATGAGCTCTACCCTCTTAATCCTCCTAAAAATTCGGAAGTGTGTGATACATTATTGTTAACCCTAGGTATAATGTTGTACAGCAAATCTCGAGAGTTTGTCTTGTTTAAATGAGATTCTATGCCTGCTCTTTAGTAACTCCCAGCCCCTCTCCACCCCAGCCACTAGCAACCATTATTTCACTCTTTTAGTCAATGAATTTGACAAGTTTCTATTTTTCATGTACCCGGAATCATGCATGGTTTTCCTTCTGTGTCTGGTTCATTTCACTTAAAATGATGTCTTTGGGGCCGGGGATGTAGTTCAGTGGTACAAGCACCTGGCTGGCAAGCACAAGGTCCTGAGTTCAATTCCCAGTACCAAAAAAAAAAAAAAAAAAAAAAAAAGATATCTTTAAGCTTCCTCCATGTTGTTGCATGTGGCATGATTTCTTCTTAGTAAAGATTGACTAGCATTCTACTTTTTTTACACGTTCGTCTGTTCATGGGTATTGAGGGTGTTTTTACATCTTGGCTACTGTGATTAGTGCTGTAATTAGCAAAGCAAATGGTATGGAAGTTCTTCACGAATAGATCTATTAACCGGGTGTGGTGAAACATGCCTATAATCCCAGCATTCAGGAGGCTGAGGCAGGAGAACTGCCATGAATTTGAGGTCAGCCTGGGCTACACAGTAAAGTTCAAGGCCAGCCTGAACTAAGCAAGGCCTTGTCTCAAAAAAAATATACAAAACAAAAACGAATAGAACTATTTTTGACCCAGCAATCCCACTTATGAATATGTATATAAAAGAATTAAAATGGGATGCCTGGAAAATCTTTACTTGAATACACTGTTTTAACCTCATTTCCATTACCAGTGTCAGATTTAAATCACTACGGTTCTTAAAATCCATTTTAATTTCTTTCTTTAATAACTGATTGCATAGGAGCCTCTCTAGTTTTCTACAGATCTTTCTGGTTCCTTATAATAGCTTTGTGACATCACATATATACTTTCTGAGGTTTTTGGTGAGGGGATTCTTTTAATTTAGAAGGTGGAACTTCTGGAGTTCTTCACATACTAGGAACTTTATCACCTCATCTTCGTGGGCTGGTGTATTTCTTTGCCTCCTGCTTCAGAAGTAAGTCTCCGGTGACAGGGAAGACCAATATGAGATGGTTCTGCTTGACATTGCTCTCTCTGGCTGCACTGTGTGCCGTAAACCTGTGGTTTCCTTCAGAAACCAACTCGTTTAGTAGGTGTAGGTCTTCACTTTCTGCAGCCTCTGTATAAAGACGCCTTTGCCTCTCCTATTTACCTGGTTATGTCCTCTTTTGCACCATCTTCTGTACACGGTCCCTTAAATTCAGGCTGTTCAGAGATATTTTGTGAAAGCACATTAGTTTATTTAGGATCCTCACTCCTCTCTTCCCATCAAACCAATTTTCAGTTCTCCACGTTTCCATTTTAAGGGGAGAGATGTCCAACTCCTCCACAAGGAAAGAAATTTTTTTCCTGGAGGGAATGACATTTCCCCCCGCTCCCCTGGAGTTCTTTGCATCTACTTATCTATATTCAAGAAACTGTGCCCGAATATTTCCAAATTGTTTTCACACATAGGCCGTTATCTTCACATTGGTGTTTGCCAGAGAATAGTTTAAGGCTTTTGTAATGTTACTGAGAATTCAATCATCTTTCAGAGGTGGAATTAGTCATATCTTGTTACTAGAAGTCCAAGATTCTCTTCTCTGGGTTTTTAATCTAAAGCTCTCGCATTTTTCTTCAAAGAGTATTTAACGACTATCTGTCATAGACGCACTGTTGGTGAGACCCTCTCTTCTTCATGGATCTTGCCAGGAAAATGTTTGTCTTAACTTCACACACAGAGTGTTCCACATTAATTCTGAGTGACGTCCATGTGGGAAATCCGTGTTGAAAGGGCTACACTTGGGAACCTTTCCAACAAAACCATGGGAGCTCAGGAATAAGGATAAACTGTTGTCCACTTTTATGAAATCCAATCTTATTTCCCTTCTTTTTACTTGTTCTATGTGCCAAATGGGTAAGAATCAAAAGGCAGAATGCCACGTTGCATCTTTTCACTTTTTTTGTGCCTGAGATGGATTGATTAACTCTCATTGTGTGTCTCCTTGTTCAGTAGCTCTTCCATTCAATTCAAAGCCCAAGCTTTGGGGCTTCTCAAGTTTGAGGCACAGGGTGGCAGAGATAAGCAGTTTCAGTGGCAAATACCTAAGCAAAAAATCTTGTGATTTATCTATACTGGATACGTATTTTGTATCTGGTGGTATATTTTTCACATTAGCTGTTTCTTAGGATTAGCTGCCAGTGCAAATCTTGTTTCATCCCTCCCTAGTGATTTAGTGTAGCAGCAAGCAAAGCTCAGCCTAGCATATGCTTACTCAGGATTAAGGATGATTTTTTTTTTTAAACTCTCTGATAGACAGTAAAATAGAATCTGTACAGTTCAATGGATTCCACAGTTAAGCTGTTTTTGTTGGTACCAACAGCCAACCCTAGACCTCTAATCCCAAGTTTGTAAAGTCTTTGGATTACGCACTGTGAATGTCAAATTCCAAACCACAGTGATCTCTGTTTTACCATGTTCTTCGTGTCCCCAATCATGCAGTGTTGCATATGATTGCTCCATGGCGAAGAAGAGGAGGGCTGAGGAGCAGGCTTTGGGCGTCCCAGTCAACAAAAGGAAATCCCTGCTGATGAAGCCCCGACACTACAGCCCCAGCGCAGACTGCAAAGGAGACCGGGATGACAGGACTGAGGAAGATAATCTCATGGAAACCAATGACCATGCTGCTACAGGTAGCAAGGAGCAGTGGCCCCAGTTAGATCTAGTTCCTGGCATCAAGTCTCAGTCTTACTTAGGACCATGGTCAATTTGGGTGTAAAAGGAGATTTGGAATTTGGAAGCAAACCAAACATTTATTTCACTCAATATTCACTTATTGAGGACCCATTCTTTATCATCACCTATGGAGCACCATAGGTAAACAACCAAGAGTCCTTGCCCTGGGTTCATCCTTAAAAGCATAGGATCGGGCTATTCCTCTTATTGAACAAAATGAAAGATACTAACACTAAAAGTTGAAGAGCTCCTTGTCTGCCTGCTCCAATTGATGTCTACTTCCTAAAACGAATCCTTCAAATTACAGGGAATATTTAAGCTTTGAGCTATCTTTCCAATGATCAAGTACCATATAATGCTCATCCACAGTGATTATAGTACATACTATATGTGTAATATATTATGTATATGATATAATTTTTGTTTAGTCAATATACATGGTATTGTTTATTCCACAAAATATAGTTGGTAATAACAATATGAACCAATGCAGATGGTCTATGACCTTAATATACGTATTCTATATATTTGAGTAAATAGTTATACAAATAGACTGTAGAAGTGACCTGAAGTTTTCATCCTAGAGGCACTTTCATTAGAAAAATAATATTGAAAATATATCACTATGTCCATTATTTCTAAAACAGATCATCTAATTTTACTTTTACATACACATCATGCTTAATTAATTCAGTTCTTCACTCACTCTTCAGGTATCTTTGCATGCTAAGTGAAACGTAGTTACTGTTTTAAAACTTTAGTGTTTATTTCTCTCCAGTTCATAATTACTGCCATTAGGCCCTGGTGTTTCATGCTTCTAGATGTTAGAAAATCATTGATTGCTTTGGTGTGAGGCTGAAATTGAGGAGGCAAAAAAATTTCAAAAATTTATTAAAAATATTAAAATCTAAAGCTTAGACTAACAAGAAAATGAAATAGGTGTATGTATGTTCCTCTATACACACACTGTTTTGAATGTTTAAGGAATGAAAACATACTAGTTGTTTGAAAATTATATAAACAATATACTGACTGAGTGAGCAGAAATCTCAGATCGGACTCATCCTACCTCAAGTAATGTTGTCTTATAAACAGTTGGATATTCTGTGGTTAAAACGAAGTTGTATGCTGATAAGTGAATTTTCTGGTTGTCCCATATTTAGCAGTTTTAAAACCTCATGGATCATCTGTCAGTTATGATCAACTTCAACTTTTTTAGTTCCTATGAAAATTTCAGGTTGAGTTTTGTGGAAAATCACTGAGTCATTGAGGGTAGAATCGAGGTAAATTCACATATTTAAGAAAATATTTGTATTAACACGTTCTTATAAGGCCTATGAAGCCAAAGACTGCATCTGGCTTGCTGACTTCGCATGTTCTATTGTAGTGGCTTTCTCATCACTGTTGTTTAACGTGGGCCACGTGACTATATTGTTCAAGTGTATTCAGTTAGGCATGCAGTGACGTGTAATGAGGCACACCATTTGCATGTGCACGGACGCTATTTTTTATGTAATACTAGAAACATTACTGATAGTAATGGATATGCTAAAATTACAGCAGTAGTAACTATTGTTTTTCAGTTCTTCATATATTCCAAACACATAAATTATGAAATGTGGTCAAAGAATATGATCAATATTTGCATTTAAAAACATTATTACAATGGCCAGGTGTGGTGGTACATGCCTGTAATCCCAGCACTTGGGAGGCTGATGCAGGAGGATCATCACGAGTTCAAGACCAGCTTGATCTACAAAGTGAGCTCAAGGCCAGACTGAACTACATAGTGAGACCCTGCCTCAAAAAAGACAAAAAAATCCAAAAAACAAAAAAAGCATTATTACAGTAAATGACACATTTCCATAATTCCCCTGAGAATACTTTCCCTCATTTCAAAATATTCATCCCATCCTCTTTGCCTTTTTCTGAAGCAGCTCTGGAAATCCTCTTTCATGTCTTTCTCCTGTGGTAACTGCCTGGATGTCTAGAGTTCTGAAATCTTTACCTTTCGTGGTCATTTAAAGAGCCAGGAGTTGCATGGTGCTATACCCAGTGAATGAGGTGGACAAGGGCACACCGTAATGTGTTTGACAGAAATTTCCATAAATGTAAGCAGTAAACTGCTTCAGAAAATGGCAAGCATGATGGGATAAGTATATTACAAGCAAAGTTGAGTGTTTGGAGGGGATTAATGGCAATGTGTCATGTACTGTAAAAATGTTTAAAATTTAAACAGGCATGTTAGTTTTTAAATCACACTTCGTATATCACTTAATCCACGCCATCATACCCCTAGGTGCGTGTGATTCTGGTCTCAATTTGACAGATGAGATCACTGAGCACCAAAAAGATTTAACATTTAAGATAACGCATCTTGTATGTGTCAGAAAGAAGACAACTAGGAAGCAATTGGAAGGACAAGCAGAATAATCATTTCCCGGTTGACAGTGTGCCGTCATCCATTTTCCCCTTGGTCTGACTCCCTTTGTAATGAAGATTGGACAAAGTTTTAATAGTGTCAGATCATAAAGTCACAACTTCCAGAAATGCGAGATCATAGATGTTTCTATCCCTGATCAACAGAGCAAAGCTTCTAAGTTGCTTTTAGCCCTGTGGGCAATTTACCCCGTGGGCAAGTTAGCCAGGAGGAGAGAGAGCTCAGTTAATGCCCAACCTGGCAAAAGTGTTTTCCATGGAGCCTCTTGTTTTTCTAGTCTCCTTACTCCAGGTGTGTGCCCGTGGTATCTTCAGCCACAAAGTCCAGATAATGAGTATAGAGTGTTCATGAAGGTTAAGGTCATGTACTTGAATCCTGTAAGTGTTTTACATCATTTTATAGCCAAATCCCCATACCTCCCCCAGCCATCTTTCAAAGGAACGCAGGTGGACGGTTGAGATATTACAAGGAATGTGACCCAAACCATGAAAATATACCTTACTCATTGGGAAGACAGCACTACTAGAAAGAACATGCACAGACCTTCCCACTGGAGAAGGGAAAATGAGAAACAGCTCAAAATAAAAACTAAGAAACCCATATGTGCGTTTCCCGCACATGACCATGTATGCAGCACAGTTCAGAGAAATCGGTCCCGGTCATAGAGTTCTAAGGGCTGGAATGATACTTTTGGCAGATCATCTCTCAGTAAATAACAAGTAAGAGATAAACCACTGCGGTTTCAGAACTTTGAAAACTTAGTTCATTTTCCAGGAAAGATGTACATGTTCAAGAAGCTTGGGAAACAAACTTACCTATAGAAATAACCTCACTAGTTATAGAAATTGACCTGAAATCTAAAGACAATAAAATTCAATTACACTGACAAAGTCAATTCAAAATGTGTTGTGATTTTTTAGGAGGACTTTTTAAAGTTAACTTGGTGCAGAACAGCCGATATATTTTCAAGAATTCATTCCTGTGTACATACAGGATCACCAAAAGCTCAGCATACACCCTAGGAATTTTCCAATCTATCATTTTTATGGCATTGGCGAAGTTGAGGTTATTGTGTTATTTGTTTTGGATGTTTTTATCTGTAATTTAAAGATCTGCTGTACTCACTGAAATTAGCTGAGAACTCCATTCTACCATGGTCATATAAATTCACCCTTGAAAATGCCCGAACTTGGGACCTTAATAGGATATTTTATTCTTGGAAGTTTTTCCTAAAGGTGGCTGTGTTTTGTGAACACCAGTACTGGCGTACAGCACTCCTTGGCTGTAGGTTGTGCAGTAGCATGTTACGGCTGCAAGGACTTGGGCTTGGAGCCATGTGGCCATGGGTCTGAGGCTGAGCCTCCCTTAGGTAGTTGTGCGATCTTGAATAAGCCCCTGGCCCCCTAAAACTGCAGCCTCCCTTTCTTGTAGTGAGTGTGAAGATTAAGTGAAACGCGCCATGCCAGGGACACTTGAGTTTATTGACCTAGGAAGGACCTGTGGTGACCCAATCATTGGGTCATGAAATCACTCTCATTTTGAAAATGAGAGCTCAGGACTTAGAAGAGCAAAGGTCTGACCGCAGTCAAGCCGGCAGTAAGCCCTGGGCTGGCAGCACACTCCCTGTCTGCACACCCCACCCTGAAGGACCTGTGCAGCGTGCACAGCTTCCGGTTTCTACAGGCTGAAGCAGAACAGTAGCACGTGTAGCACGGGTGGGAGCCCATGGCGGCTGCTAGGCTGCTTAACCCTGTGGGCCCTCCCTCTCCCTAGCGGCCAGTTTTTCTCATTATTCTAAATGAAGAGCAGGTCCACCTCATCCTGTTAAGGTCTTTTGTGCCCCTTGCTATCACTGTCTGAAAATAGTATCTGGGGAAGACAGAGCTGGAGCAGCAGAGACTGAATACTTGTTGGTTCTAGGGTGACCCTGGCAGCAAGTTGCGGGGCGGGGCTGCTGCCCTCACGGTGTGAGCACAAACGCCCGCTCACGCGGGCTAAGCAACCTGTCCACGTGGGCGCAGACAGGAGTGCCAGGCTCACAGCTTGAGCCCAGATCCCCCTAACTCCTCAGGCAGAGCTACCTCAGCTATTCCAGTGGCAAAGACACAAGATTTATCCCTATCCTCCTGGGGAGAAAAAAAAAACAAAACTTGCTCTTTAGAAAAGCAGTCAGCCCTCTTACAAAACTGGGAAACAACCAGCACCCTGTCACAGATCTGTCAGGTTCAAAAGCTAGCTCAGATTTCTTTCTTAGGACTGCAGTGAGAGCCCAGGAGGGGTTTGTGGACACAAAAAGTTGGTCTGCGATTTGCAGATCATCCCTGGAAACCACCGCGTGCGACGCACGTAGGCACCTCTGTCGGCAGGGCTCCTCTTTTTCTGAAGAATAATTAATAAATATTTTCTTTTAGCATATAACAAACAGTTGAACCAAACAATTATGTAAGCTGGAAATGACCCAAAACGCTAGCAGTTGGCAGCCACACAGTGCAATGCATTGTGGCGCACATGTGTGTGTTTGTCGCTCCCGCCTCTCTGGTGATCTGCACTTAATAGGAATATTTTAAACTATGTAGCTAAGCAACAGAGGTAATTGTTGCTTTCTAGAGCTTTTGTTAGCACTCTAACACAGCCCAAATATGCATAATTAGGTATAATGTCTATAAATCATTATTGTACACATGTGGGTAGTTAAGTGGAGTGAGAGAATAGTTCAATGAATTGAGCATATTCACTGGAAATGCTTTTTATTTGTTTTCTGTAGTTCATAATACTTTAAAATTATCATAACCCTTTACACTTTCTCTTAATAGCCAACTGTGATACTGAGAAAAAACTTCATTTGCATTTTAGACCATGTTTAATATATTATTTAAACCTGGAGTCCCCCGATATGAATTCAGGAGAGGACAGGCCCACCCTGTCCAACATGATGGGCCTGTTTATCTCGCCTCTCTTCTAGGAACTAAAATGTTAAATTTTTCAGTTTTCGTTGAATAGATCCCAACAAAAGACTGCACCCTATAATCAGCATTATTTACAGGGGCCAGTGTTGTGACTGAATTCTTCCCTTCATCCAAAAATGCTTTTAGTTACTATGGCAATATTTACTTGATCCTGGCAGTCCAGTGTTGATTTAGGGAGATAATTACCAGAAAGGAAGATGATGGAGATGTATTTTTGAGTGTCCTTGTCAGAGACAATGTTTATAAAAAATTAAATGAGACGAAAAAAAGGCACATTGTCTTCCACGCAAACACCCTCTCCTGTAGCCCTCGTGCAATCGCTGTGCTTTTCGTTCCCTCTGAAGACGTTTGCTGACACAGAATGTGCTGCACTTGGTGTCTCTCACAGCCCTTAAGGGGACTTATTATTTTGTCCCCCAGCCTCTCTTCCTGTCTTTGAAAGACAAAAATGGTCTCTTTCTTTCCCTATCTTTTTTTTTTTTTTTGTCCTACTGGATGTCAGAGAACTGTAGCTTTGTTGTCTGGTGCATTTTGTAGCCAGGTGTGTGCTGGGCAACTCCCCATGTCCCTGGGCTGGGGCTGGGGTCTCCAGACAATCAAGGCCTTCAGTGTTGTTTGCGGGGAACAGGCTGGGGTCAGCTAACTGTGCATCTGCACATCCTGTCATTCCCACTGAGCGAAGGGGAAACACTGACAACTACCCTGGGATGACAGCCGTGCCACAGGCTGTCCTGCACACACTGGAGCTTGAGGCTTGCTTTTCTGATGTTCAAGATCCAAGCCATCCCTGTATGGAGCACTGGCTCCTGTCCAGCATCCTGCAGCCATCCCCACCTCTGGTCTGATTTCCTTTTTTACACAGACACATGCAAATATCAGATTAGAAACTGATACTATTTGAGACAGGATCATGATAATTGTCCCATTTGTGTTTTCCTCAGTATGGACTTTTAGTGTGAGAATTACAAAAGATTTTTGTTTTGTTTTGTAGGATTTTGTTTCATATTTGGTGGTACTGGGGATTGAACCTGAGGCTTTTGCTCTGAGCTATATCCTTAGCTCATTTTCTTTCTTTCTTTCTTTCTTTCTTTCTTTCTTTCTTTCTTTCTTTCTTTCTCTTTCTTTCTTTTTCTTTCTTTCTTTCTTTCTTTCTTTCTTT